ACGGTTTTGTTGCAACAAAAGGGATCATTTGTTGCAACATTACAACATTTGAGATTTAATTACGGGGGACAAGTTTAATCAGATTGAACTATTGCTAAAAATTTGGGGTGTAGCAAAACAGCTATTTATAAAGTACTTAAACGCCATCGTCAAACTGGTTCTTCTACACCAAAAAAACAAACTAGCCACCCACCACTCCTTAATATACCATCTCAACAAGAGCTTAAAGTTTTTGTTCAAGAAAATGGTAAAAATCGTCAGCTTTGTACAAAAAAACTTGCAACTGTTTAGACAGCTCGTACAAAAAACCCATTTCTGCATTTACTATACGTCATATCCTCAAAAAAGTTGGACTTAGTGCTCGTATTCCTCATTACAAACCTGCAATGATAGAAGCACATTGTCAAGCTCATTTCAAATGGGCTCGCGTACATGAAAAATGGATAACAAGACAATGGAGAAAAGTGCTTTTTTCAGATAAAAGTACTTTTACACAATTTCAACAAGGACGTCAAGGAAAAGTATGGTGTGAACCAGGAGAAGAATTGAACCCTGATTGCATTTCAGTTACTGTAAAACACAGTCCAAGTAAAATGTTTTGGGAATGTTTTTCTTGGAATGGACTTGGACCAATTGTTCCTTTAAATAGTTCAGTTACTGGTAAAATACATGCTGAAACTATTCAAAAATATGTTGTTCCTACTTTACAGAAGTATTTTCCTCATGGTAATGAAATTTTCTAAGAAGATAATGCTACACTGCATTGTTTAAAAGTTGCTGCGGCTGCTTGTGAAAGTGCTAAAATTGTGATGCTTTCTTGGCCCGCCTAAAGTTCAAACTTAAATCCAATCGAAAATCTTTGGGCGAAAATGAAAATGATAGTTTGACGTCGTACTCCTTTACTATTTAATATCTGAGAGCTTGAAAAATATGTTAAAAGTGCTTGGAAAGATATTCCTCCAGAATATTACAAAAAATTGATCAATAGTATGCCACAGAGGATCAATGCAGTTATTACCATAAATGGTAATAGAATTAAATATTAGTATCGTAATTTTTTTTGTAAAAATTAATTAATAAAAGCAAAATAAATA